TGTGCCACGAAACCTGACTCCCTTCTGTGATTCTAAAGTCTCTGCTCAGTTCATCAGAGCACTCATTGCATTCTATGAAGTGAGGCATTGGCCAATTCTAGAATCACAAAGCCAAACTGGATCTTTAAATTACACGTGTTGTACTTTTCTTTTGACCTTCTGTATCTACAGTTCAGATTGCTCCCTGGATATTTTGGAGATGTTAACTAGTCATCATGGGTACTTTAGGCATATGGGAAAGTATGCTTCTACGAGATCCACAGGAAGGGATAGGGTGAGGCAGGAGATTAGGGCATGTGGGCAGGGCCTACTAATAAGGAAATGCACAGCAAAACAATTCCCAAAGCCCTGCCCCTAGGACCAGAGAAATGACGGCTTTAATTTTCTTGTGAGCACTCAAGAGAGATTTTAGTAGATTAGCATAGATTTGATGTCAACCTGAGGGGTGGAGGATACAAAGTACACCTGTGGTCTGCTCTCAGACTGTGGAGTATACCTCTTTTTCTACTTTTAATTGTCCTACACTCACAAGCAAAGCATGTTTATTTTACTATCTTTAATAAATATAAAAATTTTTCTCCTGTTTGCACTTGTTTTGTTTAATTCTTAGTTCAGGACAAGAAGAACCTAGAAAGAATCTCTAGAAAGAGTCCCTAGAACCTCAGAACATGGTAACAAGGGAACATATCAAGAATTAAAGGGGGGGCTGGTGAGATGGCTCAGTGGTCTAGGGCACCTACTAAGAACAAGCTCAGCAAGGCACAGGGACCCTGGTTCGGTCCCCCAGCACCACATGCTGGCCCGCCCCGCCCCCTGGTGGGCTGAGCTGGACACACACACACACACACACACACACACACAAATAAATAAATAAATAAAATTTAAAAAAAAGAATTAAAGGGCCTGGGGAAATGGCTCAGTGGAATAAGCACTTCCCTGGCAAGCACAAGGACCTGAGTTCAATTCCTGGTTCTGCAAAAAAAAAAAAAAAAAAAAAAAAAAGAATTAAAGGAAGTTCTGTGTTCCTGGTCTGCCACCATTAAGAGAAATGATCATGACCTGTGGTTGTAGAATTAGGGTATGGCAACTTGGCCAGATTAGGTTAGGAATTTATGCTGGAAATCCTAACAGACATTTCAGAGAATTTAAGGATTTTACTAAGAGAGGGGACATTTAATAAAGTATCCACGGTACCTAACAAACAATAGACATAGTTTATTGGCTCGAGCAAGCCAAAGAGCAAATGGATTGGGAGACATTGGAAATAAACTGGGTGGGAAGGGATGAGAAATAGGATAAGGATGACAGAAATCAGCATGAAGAGGACCGTGTAAACTTCCTAAATACTTCATTTAGCAGGAAATATGTACCAAGCCCAGCAATTATTTCATAAAGAGTTGTTTGAGAAGTTCTGGAGGGGACAGTGGCTCTATCCTTTGAGCATCAGAGGGGTTTTGATGGGATTTCTTGATACTGGGAAACCAGGTAAACTAGTTTCAGTGTAAGAATGATGCACAGTTTTTAGCACATGTAGCGTGTGGTACCTGTAAGACAACTTCCTCACCCAGGCCATAAATCACACATGTGGACAGTGCTCACATGGTGGGCTGGCTTTGAAGAGATACTTTTGTCTGTCAACAACACAGATTAAGGACTAATTAGTGACCATCGGGAGGGATGAACTAAGAGAAGGGAAGCAGGAGTGAAGAGGAGGCCTGAGATCTAGTAACTAAGCTTCATTTAGCAGTCAGGATGTGGAGACAGGATGTGGAGTCACGCTTTTAGTTCATTTATCCATTCTGTGAAGAATATTCTGACAGGCATTGTGGCACATGCCTGTGATCCCACCAACCAGGAAGCAGACGCAGGAGGACGACTGCAAGTTCAAGGTCATCCTGGGCCACATAGTGAGTTCAAAGCCAGTCTGAATTACATAGTGAGACCCTGTCCCAAAACAAAAAAATGTTTAGTGATTTACAACTCTATCCCTGTTACTGCTATAGGTGATACTGAACATAGTAATAAACAAAATAGGAATATATAACTGTCCCTGTAAAGTTTACATTTTGTTGGGACAGTCAGAAAATGTTAAACACATAATAATGATATAGAAGGTAGGGTGGCAAAGCTGGTTAGGGAAACGAGGGGGACCTGTCAACTGCAAGATCTTAGGAAGTCACCAAATAATTTCCAGGACCCTGCATGTAGGGCTTTCTGTGGGGATTCTGAGGAGCTGTGGATTGCATACAATGACACAGGAGGAGTTCGCTGTCATGACCCCTCACTATAGCCCATTCTTCATTGGAATGCACTTTTTGCCTTTTCTCTGTTTGGCCTAAATTTGCTCTACAGTGCAAGGTTTTTTTTTTTTTATCCCTGTCATGGTTTGGGGTTTTTGCAAGGGGTACAATATAATATAGGATTTATAGCAATAACATTTAATAATATTAGTTTATAAGGAATCATCCAAGACTCATATACAACAAATGCAGGAAATCTATCCACATACTAAATACTAAAGAATACAGCTGAGGGCATGGATCCTAATATCCTGCATGAGTCCAGCTGAAAACCTAGAGCTCATAACAATGTGTCCACCAAAATCCAACTGGAGGCCTAGAGCCCACGACAATGTCTCGTGCAGGCCCACTTCACAGACCTGGAAAGGCCCAAAGGTCAGTGGTGGAAGCTAGAAAGTCTATGCCAGCAGGATGAAGGATCTGTGCTAGTAGGCTGAGGGATCTGAGCTGCAACAAGGAAACAACATTCTGGGTAAGCACGAGAGCTCCCCCAAAAGTACCACAGTCAACCTCTGCAAAAGTGAGTTCCTGAGCTCCTCTAGTGATGAGGAAAGCTGAGTTCCCATCATGAAAGCCAATCTAACAAGCTTCTCCATGAGGCTGAGCAGTGCACCATCTTCCCCTCTGGAGCCAGGAAGCAATGCTCAAGATGACCAGAGCGCCTCCAAAGTTCACTGGGAAAGCTGGCAGGACAAGGTCTTCCAGCAGAACAGCCCAGGAGACCTAGCAGCTTCCAACAGCTTCTCCAAACAGCATCCCTAATAGCGTTTCAGCAGCATTTCCTGTTCTGCCTTTATGTTGCTGGCAACAACCTTCAGGTGGCCCTCCCACACCCATACCATGCTGGTTTAGTTCAACTGGGTGTAATAAATTGACCACCTCTTAGAAATCCGCTACAATCGCTAACCCTACTTTTCTTTCTTGTTTTTTTTCTTTTTTCTTTGGTACTGGGAATCAAACTCAGGACCTTGCACTTGCCAGGCAGGCCCTGAACTATATCCCCCTGCCCTACCCCTTACTTTTTTTTTTTTTTTCATTTATTTATTTGTGTGTGTGTGTGGCCAGCTCAGCCCACCAGGGGCGGGGGCTGGCTGGCATGTGGTGCTGGGGGATTGAACCACGGTCCCTGTGCTTTGCCAAGCTTGTTCTAAGTAGGTGCTTTAGACCACTGAGCCATTTCACCAGCCCCCCCCTTTTCAAATAAACTTCTGGCACCATTTTTTCTGGCGTTGTCTCATCTGATTCTTTGTTCCAGGCAAGGAGGACCTAGAATACTTTTAATTGGTGAATCATTTTTCAAGGAACTAGAGGACAAAGGCAACATTAGGTTGTTTCAGATGGTGGTAAATGTTCTACTGAAAGGTACTGACTAATAGAGTAAGAAAGTTTTTTTTTTTAATATATATTGTCTACAGGGTCTCACTACATAGATCAAACTCATAGTGATTCTCCTGCTTTTCAGCCTTCCAAGTACTGGAGTTATGCACCATCATGCCTAGTCTCAATCACCTTCTCAGTGTTCCCCAGCTGTGGGGCTGCCATGGCATGCCAGGGATCGAACTCTGGTTGCTGCGCTCTGTCTAAGCAGGCACTTTAGCCTGCTGAGCTACCTGGCCAGCCCGAGAAGGTGGTTCTTGACTGTGTCAGTTTTATTTCTCTGTTTTTTTAATATTATTTTTTTTTTCCAGCGGGGCATGGTGGTGCACTCTGTAATCCCAGCACTTGGGAGGCTAAAGGAGGAGGTTCACCACGAGGTCAAGGCCAGCCTGGGTTACATAGTGAGTTCAAGTTCAGCTGCACTACATAGGGAGACCCTGTCTAAGGAAAAAAAAAGTCATGGAAATGACTGCAAAGTTGTGGTTTAACAAGGTTATTTGCAAGGTTGCAGTTAAGACTGATACTGGGAAATTCTCTTCATGTAAGTGGCTTAACTATAAATAGTGGTTGGGTTTGCCTGGCAAGCGCAAGGTCCTGAGTTCGATCCCTGGTACCACCAAAAACTAAATAAATAATAAATATGGTTGGCAGTCTCTTATGCTAGTTCCCATCATCAATCAAATGACTGCATGAGGGTCATCTCTTCATGAAGCTCCTGGCTTCATTTTTCCTGAGTTCTGACATGAGTGATTTAATTTTGGTACATGAATTTCTCAAAGAAAAAAAGAATAGTAGACTCTGAAATCTCTCAAGTAAGGTACATCTTCTCTGCAAATAAAGAAAAAAAAATCAACCAATCCTTTAGTTCACTCTACAAATTTATTCTATGTATATAGCATAGAGAATCCTGCTGGGGTCTGAGATAAGGAGGTCAAAGTAGCTAGGGAGCAAGCTCCAGTTGCATGCTGGGATCAATCCGAGCCTTGGGAAACCTGGCTTCTGTGGCTCTTCACTGCAGGACTCAATTTCCCAGAAGCCACCGCGCCAGTGTTAACAAATCTGCTCCGGGTTTCTGAGGGCGGTGGATCGGGGGCTTCGTGGGGGCAAGACGGTGAGGTGAGAGGAAGAAGTCACCTGAGGGAGGGGCCGCTGACCGCTGCGCGCCGGTGCGGCAGTCCCAGGTGCGTGTCTCCGAGTGCTTCTAGAGTACGAGGGTGGTTAACGCGGTCGCCAGGGTCGGAGGCCGGAGAGGGCGTGTGCGCGTGCGTGCGTGAGGACCTTGCAGTCGGGGCCAGGCGGCCCTGTGCAGGCTGAGGGCGCGTCGCGGCGGCTGTGAGCGTCGCTGTTGCGGTGCGCTGGTTGTCGGCTGCGTCTCGTCTCTCCTCTCGCAGCCGCTCGAGCTGCAGCGGAGGAACGGCCCCGGCATGGGTAACATTCTGAGCGCAGGGTGCAGCGTTCCGCGAGAAGGTACAGGCCGGACGCGGGATGGAAATTTGAGAACTGGACGTGCCATCGAGAGCCCCACCGAGGGCGGCCACCGGTCATCCCGCGTTCGTCCAGCCCTGGCCCCAGCAGCCATTGTGCACACCCAGGCCGACGCCTTCTGCTTTTATTTACCTCTTTTGTGCGAAGTGAGGGAAAGTGGTCTGGGAGATGCCGTCAGACTCGGTCTGCTCCGCGCTCCAAGAAGAGCCCGAGGGGAGGGCCCCCATGCCTCCCCCTAGCGCTGTGCCGTTATTTAAAAGAACCTGTACTAGGATGAGAGCATTCCTGCTGCACATGTGATAATCAGGGGTGAAGTCGTACTTCAAGAAATGCTGTTTTGATTTTAGACTGTAGCGGACTCAGTAAATATTCAAGAAAGAATGGAGATGTGCAAACTGATACCCCCCCCCTTTTTTTTTATGCGTGGCCGGGGATTGAACTCAGGCCCTTGAGCTTGCCAAGCAAGTGCTTATTCAACTGAGCTATCTCCCCATCCCCCCCCCTTTTTTTTCTTTTTGAGACAGGGTCTCTATGCAGTTCAGGCTGGCCTTGAGCTGACTTTGTAGCCCGGGCTGGTCTCGAACTCACAACAATCCTGCCTCAGCTTCGAGTGCTGGGATTACAGGTGCCCCCTCCCCCCCATTGTTTTGGGTTTTGTATCCTGTGACTAACATCTCGGCCATTCACCTTTCTACTTCGTATTCACATGACCATGTGGCAGATCTTTCGCCAACAGCCTGTGCATACTTATCGTAAAATGCTATGGAAATAAACCTCTAGTTAGATTTGGGTTTGGTAGAGAAGAAAGAGACCAGTATGCACCAGGTATTTTTTAGGCTTTACAGACTTTTTTTTTCCAAGCTGGGGAAGAATGGAGATGGTTAGATGATTTCAGTTAATTTGTGAGGCTTTCAGGAGTGGGAAAGTGACAGTCTAAGATTTCGTATCAAAAGCCAGGATTTCAGTGCACACTGGCTCCACCCTCTGGGCCAGCCTGCCTGCCAGTCCGGGTGTGGTGGTGCAAGCCTGTAATCCTACCGCTGGGAGGCTGGGACAGGAGGATCACTAGGAGTCTGAGTTGCATTGTGAGACCCTGTACCAAATACATTAAAAAAAAAAAAAAAAAAGAAAGAAAAGAAAAAAACCAGGATTTTCCAGGGTGTCCATTAGATGAAATTTGTAGTACTGGCACTGTTAGTGCCAAGTTTTGGCAGCTCCGTTTGTGTTTTGGGCCTCCTTTTTGTTTTTTGAGAGGGGGTTTCCCTATGCATCTTAGACTGGTCTTGAGCTCACTATGTGGCTCAGGCTGGCCTCCGCTTTCAGTCTTCCAAGTGCTGGGATTACAGGTGTGCAGCCACAGTCCTGGGCATTTTTTTTTTTTTTTTTTTTATGTGGGGACTGTGAGAGGCATGTTGTGGTTAAGTCAGAGATCTGGAGGATCTGAGTTGGAATCTTGGTTTTGTCCCCTTTGGCTTTGTAGTGAACATTAGAATGAACTCACATTGTCAAGCCCCTTAGAGTGGCGCTGGGCATCTTAGAAGTGCTTAGCAAAGTTTGATCGGTTTAGGCCTCTCTCCTCATCTTTCTATAGAAGAGGAGCATTAGAGGTATGTAACTCATTGTGATTGTTGATTGTGTATTCAGAATGGGATATTCTACTAATCTTGACAAAAATTCTTTTTTTTAAAAATGTTTTTGAAATTTTTGGATAAAGTTATATCTTATATACAGCATTATGTTTTGAACTATATATACATAAACTATTATGTATATAAATTATATTCATATATAGGAATTATAGCCAGTTAGCCCCTGCATTAACTCGTAGTTATTTTTAATATCTGTTATGTTAATATTTTTCTTTTTTTTGAGACAGTCTTGCTGTGTAGCCTATGCTGTCCTTGAACTCACAGGGATCGTCCTGCCTCAACTTTCTGAAGTGCTGGGATTATAGGTGTATGCCACCATGCCTAGCTGTTTACATTTTCAAGAACACAATATAGTGCCGTTAACTATAGTCACCATATTGTAAAGTTCTAAAACTTATTTCTCCTGTCTAACAGAAATGTTGTGTCCTTCGCCCAGCATTTCTCCAGTCCCTTCTGTCACTCAAGCACCTAGTTATTGCCATTCTACTCTCAACTTCTGTGAGATCTTTTTATTTTATTTTAGTACTTTTGAGGCTGGGTCTCGCTATGCTGTTCAGGCTGGCCTTGAGCTTGCGATGTAGCCCAGGCTGGTCTTGAACTTGCAGTGATCCTCCTGCCTCAGCCTCCTGAGTGCTGGGATTACAGACATGCGCTATCAGGCCTGGGATGAAAGTCTGTTTTCTATAGTAGCTGTATTAATTTACATTTCCAGCAATAATGGGAAAAGGTTTCCTTTTGTCATATGCTTCTCAACAGTTGTTATTTTTGTCTTGCTGATGATAGCCGTACTAGTGGGCATGAGGTGATCTCTTTTTGGAGTTTGTGTTTCCCCGATTTTGATGATGGGTGATGTTTAGCATTTTTTCATACACCTATTGGCCATATGTATAGCTCCTCTTGGATCATATCTGTTTGAATCTTTGCCCATTTCTAAATTGGATTTTCTTGTTATTAAGTTCCTTTGTAGATTTTTTTTTAATCTTAATTTTATTGAGAAGTAGCAGTGAGACAGTTTCAAAACAGGTCAGTAGGACAGTTACAATAATTAATACATTGCATAGTATTGTCTTTGTAGTAGTTATTCATATGTTGATGTTTTGGATGTTAATCCTTTGTCAGATGTATAGTTTGCAAGTATTTTCTCTCATTTTGTAGACTGTCTCTTCACTGTGTTGATTTTTTACTTTTGCTGTGCAGAAGCTTTTTAGCTTGATATAATTTCATGTCTTTTTGCTTTTGTTGTTTGTAATTTTGAAGTTATACACAAAAAATTATTGCCATGTCTAATGTTAAAATCTTTCCCCTGTTTTCTTTCCTAGTAGTTTTAGTTTCAGGTCTTGTATTTTAATGTTTAATCCATTTTGAATTGTTTTTTTGCACCTAATAAAGAGATGGGGGTCTAATTCCATTCTACATAGTGATACTCAGTTTTCTTACTACTGTTTATTGGAAAGGTTGTCCTTTATTGTACTTTCTTGGCAATTTTGTCAGAAAACGGTTAGCTGAGCTGTGGGTATAGCTCAGTGCTTAGCAAGTCTGAGGCCTGTATTCAGTCTTTAATTAAACACACACACACACACACACACACACACACACACACACACATCCTCATTTGTAGATGCATAGATGTATTTATGGGCTCCAAATCAGGTAGGTCGATGTTTTTAGCTTTTTTTTGTTTTGTTTATTCGTGATTGCTCTGGATATTTGGGCTCTCTTGCAATTCTGTATGAATTTTAGGATTTTTTATTTTTTCTATTCTGTGAAGAAAGTAGGAGAGAATTTTTTTTTTTAAATGTATTTAGTACAGGGTCTATAGGGTCTCATTACACAGATTAGACTCATAGTGATCCTCCTGATTTCAGCCTCCCAAGTGCTGGGATTACAGGTATGCACCCCCACACCCAGTCTTAGTTGCTGTCTTAGTGTGCCTAGGGGGCAGGGCTGACACAGCACGCTGGGGATTGAACCCCAGTCGATGTGTCTGCCTGCGCAGGTGCTTTAATCCTCTGAGCTATCTGGCTGGCCCGGGATGGAAATTCTTAATTTGAGTTTATGCAACTCCATTTATGGTCTTAGGGACCACAAATCTCTACATTTGAAGTATTGTTGGAATTGTAAATGTGCCAGGCATGGTGGCTCACACGTGTAACCCCAGCACTCCTGAGGCAGGAGAATCACCATGAGGTTGAGGCCATCCTGGGCTATATAAGCAAGTTCAAGGCTGGCCTGTGCTACACAGGGCGAGACTTTGTCTGGAAAAAAAAAAAAAGATGTGAGTTTTGTAGGGAAAGAAAATATATGATTTCATAAGATTATCACAGGTATCCATGACCCAAGAGAATTAATTAGCGTTTATTTATTTTATTTTTAATGGTACCAGCGATCGAACTCAGGACCTTGCATTTTCCAGGCAGGCGCTTATGCCTCTGAGCTATATCCCTGGCCTGCAAGTTCATTCATTTAGAACAGGGGTTCTTACTAGGGTATGTATGCTGTTTATAACTAGTGGGCAGAGGTCAGGAATGTTTTTGAACGTTCTACAGTATAGGAATAGGAGGAGCCCATCAGAGGAAGATATGGGGCCCAATCCTAGACCTGATGTGCGTTCCAAGAGTGAGGGACTGGTTAGAATCCTCTCATGGGGGTTATTGTAGCAACTTCTAGGAAGAATTGCCTGTGCTCTTCATTCATGCCTGGTACAACAGCAGGTTCCCTGGGAGTTAGGAGAAAGTTGGGTTTGCTCAGATTCCTGTCTGCTACCTCTGTGTGTGTGTGTGTGTGTGTGTGTGTGTGTGTGTGTATCTACGTAGGAACTGTGGGAAAGGCATGTATTTGTGGGGGTAGCTGAGAAATAAAAGTAGAGAATGAGGTAGTTACATTGATGTAAGTTGCTTTGGGGGCACTGAGACATAGAATGACTTAAATCTTTTTCTTTTGTTCCCCAGGAGAAGAAGACTAAAGAAGATTAATCAACCAGTTTTTGTAATTTTAAAAACATGGTCCATGTAAGTTGGTCTTCATCTCTTTCCCTGGAATTCCGATAATTTTCAAGTTAGCTGACTCTTATCATTTATCTCGAAGCTTGCTACCTAAGGATCCAAGCTTCTGTAGCCTGGTTTGTGTCATTAACAGTGGATGTTGGAAGTTTAGTGCTTTTCCTCGTGGTGCCCCTCTTTTCACCAGTGGTGTTTTTTTTTGTAACACATTATATTCAGCATCTGCTCTGTGCTTGGTCCTCAGTCAGGGAAATGCTAGAGCCGTAGAGAAGTTGCTCCCACAGGGGACAGGCTCTCAGGGCACTTGAGAATGATTGGCTCATTTGATCGCAATTGGGACAGCCTTGGAATTTCTCCCCAGATGAGCTTTCCAGCCTGTGAGGGAGGGTTTAGTAGTGAGGAGCCCCTTCTGTGCATGTGGCAAGATGACCTGCTTTATTTATTAAGCTTTTAGGAAAATGTTCAAGGAGCACAGAGAGTGACCATCGCCCAGGTGTAAGCAGGAGGTGACTGTGGATTCTCAGCATGGGGTGATACCTTAAAAGGTGTTGACTGTCCAAAGACATTGACAGATAAATACAAAAAGTGGTTGAATCTAATATGTCACGGGGGGCATGGTGGTGCAGGCCTGTAATCTAGGCGTTCTGGGAGGCTGAGGCGTGAAGATTACCAGTTCAAGCCTAGGCTGGCCGACTTGGTAGTGAGACCCTGTCTCAAAATCAAAAGGATCTGGGAATATAGTTCAGTGTGAAGGCCCTGAGTTCAAGCCTCAGGACACAGAAATAAAAAAAACTAGTATGCCAGTTGCATGGATGGTTAGACACAATAAAAATCACTTGCCTTGATAAGAAAAATTACTTTTGATATAATTTACACCATAATGAACTTGAGGATTGAGAGTCTTTTTAAGTTTTTAAAGTATTTTACACAAAAGTTGGGTGAGGGGCCGGGGAGAGATGGCTCAGTGGAATAAGCGCTTCCCTGGCAAGCGCAAGGGCCTGAGTTCAATCCCCGGTTCCACCAAAAAAAAAAAAAAAAAAAAAAAGTTGGGGGAAGATGTCATTTTTTAAAAATTAATTTTATTTGTACATTTTAGATATACACAATGATAACATTCATCATAGTGAATTTGCACCTTTACATGATATATCTTGATCCTTCTTTTTTCCCCCTTTGCCCTCCCCTTGCTGTATCCTCTCTTCCTCTTTTTATTTTTAAAAGCTTAGTTTCTATGTTTTCCTTCTATTGTTTATTTCCCTCCTTCCCTTCCTCCTGCTCCTGCCTAGTTCCTCTTAGCCTTTGAGCATTTTTTATTTCATTATATCTGTTACAGATTTTGGTCCTAAGTAGCCCTTTCTGTGGTGTGAGAAGCCATGCAATATTTGAACATGTGTGTCTAATTTATTTCACTTAAGAATGGTCTCAAGGTGCATTTATTCACCTAGAAATGTCTCAAGTTTTATTACTCCATTATATACTGAAGACATCTTGACCCATCCATTGGTTGATGGGTATTTGGGCTGTTTCCAAGATTGGCTGTTTCCAAGGCATCATAAATTATGCTACTGTAAACATGACATGTCATGCTTCTTATTTTTGGTATAACTTGTGGAATAAAGATGACGCATGTTATGGTTTGTGTCTAGTTGTCCCCCCAAAGCCTCATGCAGTCATGGGGTGGACTTCTAGAGTTTGTGATTGACTCATGATCCACTGGGATGATGGGTGTGAGTGCTACAACCAGCCTGGGGCAGCTAGCCTGAATGTAACGTAAGGGAGACAGACTTGCTTTTTGCAGCCATTGTTGCTGCTACTCCTCCCTTTGCTCTCTGTTCTTTTCTGCCTCCATGAAAGGTTGCTCTCTGCCATGTGCCCCTCTGCCTTGGAGCCAGCTGAGCATAGCCTAAAATCTCCAGTGACTGTGAGCCAAATAAACCTTTCCTTCCTTCATTTTGGGTGTTGGGTATTTTGTCCCAGCAATGAGAAAAGAGCAACTGAGACAAGATAGAAGTGCATATTTACTAGGTATTGTGAAGCGGTCTATAGCAGGCACGATGATTATTTAGTAGAGAAATGTACATTGTTCCTTCCGTTCCCAGACATCTGGGCTATGCATTATTCTGTAGCATCTGGATTCTTCAAGAACATGCAGGTGTCTGGTGACTTTCCATTTTCTTTCTTTCATACAGTTTAGTCCTTCACCTCCTCTCCTCTTATCTTGAAATAACCTCCTTCACTTTCACTCTAACACATGTGTTTGTGGTTTCAGGGGTCAGTGACCTTCAGGGATGTGGCCATTGATTTCTGCCAGGAGGAATGGGAGTGCTTAGGCCCTATTCAGAGAGACTTGTACAGAGATGTGATGTTGGAGAACTACAGCAACCTCATTGCAGTGGGTAAGGTCATATGCTGCAGTTCACTGTAGCGGGTGTGCTCTGGAAAATCAGCTTCTCTCATTGTGAATTACTGATTAATTAATTTAGTGTAGAAAATATCAAGAGAGAGAAAGAAGGGGGTTCCGAGTGGGTGGCCTGGGGAACCTGCTTCTCAAGGGAGCTTTATAGAGTAAAATCACAAGGTGAGGTAGGTATAAAGTGAGATAAAACTATAGTTAGTTAACTAATAAGATTAGAAGTATAGTCTCTTAGGTAATATTGATACAATAGAAAGTCAGAAGGTTGTGTGAGGTGGGACAAAACTATGCTTAGCTAAAGTTGCTTAGGTGATATTGATTAAATGGGGATCAACCAGAGACACAAGTTATATAGCAAGTGTACATGGGACAGACAAGGACTGTCCTGGAAGGTGTAGGTTAAGGGAGTTTTGATCCTCCACCAAGGTGATTGATACTTGTGTATTTGGTATAGAGTCTCACTACGCAGCTCAGACTCATAGCGATCCTCCTGTTTTCAGCCTCCCCAGCACTGGGATTACAGGTGTGCGTTACCATGCTCAGACTCGGTCACTAGCTTAGTGCACCCCCGGGTGGGGCCAGCACAGCATGCGGTACCAGGGATTGAACCCCAGTCCTATGCTTGCCTAACCAGGCACTTAGTCCGCTGAGCTAGCTTGCTGGCCCTATCAATCACTGCTTTTCATCTGTAGGGGAAGTTATGGGTGTAGTCATTCCTCTTTGTCCTGAGGCCCGACCTTCAACAAATGCTTCTCCAGCTACAGTTGTCTTCTGCACTGACCTCTTGAGGGCCGAGCCGTGTCTGACTGCCTGGTCCCCTAGGTACCCTTTTCTAGCAGAAAGACAAGCCTATGCTTTTTCAAGTTCATTCTAAAATTTCTTTGTCTACAGCTCACAGATTAAACTTATACCCATGATCTCGTAACCACAGTTCACATGTTAGTAAAAGCACATCCATTAGTATTATACACACAGGAAAGAAGGTCTCAAATCTCTTCTTTACTCTTAGTTAGCATAGGCAAGGCACAAATGTAAATTGGTCCCCTGGTAGCTGCTTCTCTCAGTGAAAGGCAAACAGTTGTTGCAAGCTGTTTCAGGCTGATTTCTGGAGAGAAGAGCAGACTAATGGCAAGGTACTTCTAAAGTTAATTCCCAGTGAGTTGAAGAAAAACTGGTGTTTCTAATTTACTAACAGAGAGAGCACTCAATTTTCAATGGAAGCTTTAAGAAAGGGCTCTAACAGCATCATCTCTGGCTACTCTGGGACAGAGAGTCTACTAGAAGATCACTGAAAGAGCTACTTCTCACCTCACTGAGGAGTGTGGGTGGGGATGATAGCTAAGGGGACATTTTTCTGGTGGTTACGTAGGCAGTTGGGACTCAGATTCTACTGATGAACCATTGGGTATATACCAGCGGGTGTTCCTTGCTTGACTTGTTAGAGGTCCTGAGTTCAATCTCCATACCAAAAAAAAAAAAAAAAAAAAAAAAAAATTCAGCAAATAGTCCAGATGCAACATATACAAAATAGGGATAAAATGTCCTATTAAAAAGGCATCATAAAAAAAAGGCATCATAAAAAGGCATCATAACTTTCCATGTTCTTAAATTTATTGTCATTTTAACAAACACTAAGCAGTTGACAAACACATTTCTTTTTATTCTTATGTTTTTTTCTTTTGAATTTCTTACAGCTTTTTTGTTATTATTGTGTTTGGTTT